TTACAATTCAAATCAGTAGTTAGTAGTATTTTATAATGGACTTTAATCTCTCTCTTTTTATTATATGACAATTATATAACATTTTTAGTATTTTATCTGTAATTTTAACTTATGTCTTATTTTATTTTTGTATATATTTTTAACAATTATTTCTGTTGCAGGACCCTACTGAAAATCGCTTTTGCGAGTAGGTCTCCTGGATAAATTTATTATTATTATTATTAAATATAAAAGTAAAATCTTTAATTTTATATAAAAATTGAGCTCATATACTTTACGCTCACTGGCGTACTGTGCAGAAACTTGTCAACATTGAGTAAATAAACTTATAATCCCATTAAACTAAACTTGTGTTTTTCTCAAAAGTAGTTTTTGGTAAAATACACATTTTCAGAAGGTTTATTCTCCCTCGGTTTTTGATCAATTACCGTGAAACATGGCATGTGGATTCCTACTATGCTCGAGTTTAAAAATGTGTCTGCGTTTTTTCATTTTCCTTTTCTTTTSTCAGATATTTGCCATTTTCTCAAGAATGCCCTTAAAAACATGTAGTTATAACTTTGGAATTGAATAAAAGATTAAAGAAGAGCTAAAAGAAAAAACGCAGACACACTTTGGTAGAACAACATACGTGTAATAAGATGCAAAAAAAATTTGATCCGTTTACGCTAACCAGAGGGAGAACAAACATCTCGCGTCGAACCATAGCGTTTGCAATCAATGCCCGATTTATCCAAAATGAATTATTTTTGTCCAAAAGTAAAATCGAATATGCAATATTTGAACTTTAAGCTGTTAGAAAATGTATACTTTATGGGGAAATTTATATAAACTAAAAGCGCTATGAGCGTTCAAAAAACCCGACCCGATYGTGTTCCATGTATCGTTAAGTAGCTTACTCAGCTGCCTCTTGGTTGGCTCAGTTAGGCATCAGTCTGGCCTAACCAATACTTTGAAATATCTGAGTAGAAAATGTTGCCTTTGCTTCAAAAATATCTGCAAAAGGTTAAACCTTCGCTGTGGCTCAGATAATCATGTAAAATGGTGGTGTCATCTCATTCTATGATGTTGAACATAGAGGGCCAGCAGTATATCAGTTGTGACTGTCACATGTCTGTTATTATTAAGCAAGTTTCTTGGTGATCATTTTCAAGGAAGTGCAGAACAAACTGTTCTCAAGTGTGACATATTTTCTTTTGGTTCTTCTAAATGTGATTTACATGAAACTAATGACCCCTGCCAAGGCCAGGGACCTGACGCAAGTCTATTGAAAGGCCAGTAACCAATCAGAACACAGTTGTGGTCATGTGACAATAAGTCAACTCTGTGTTTGTACATGTTGTGTTGTACAGATGAATCTGGTAATTTGCCAGACCAAATCCTTAGTTCTCTCACCTGCAAAATTTAAAAAAATGACAAAATTAAAGATTGATATTTAGGTTTTGATATTGGTACCATATTTGATAAGCCTGGGCTTAGGAATCAATGATAGTGTCACAGCAGTGCACTCATCGCTCACCTTTGGGGACTCAGGTTCAATTCCTGGACTCATCATCACATGTGAGTAGAGTTTTCTGGGTTGATGGAAGGGCTTTCTTTTCTCCAAGTTATCTAGTTTTTCTCCCTCTGTAAAACCCTATTTGACATTGCTGAATTCCTATTTGATCTGTGAGTTAGCAGTGCCCTGACTTAGATCAGCCCAGCGGCGGTTTTGGTCTTCAATAGAATTTTATTTTATTTGAAGCTAATAAACCGTGATCAGGGAAGAAAATGAACAGCCAACTTGAATGCAGGTTAGTTTTGAATAATTAGCTTTCTCTTGTGGACTGCCTTGACTGCCTGTGATTGGCTACCTGTGGTTGCCTAGGTGACCACAGGGATCCCAATAGATAATATTTATACAAGTCAAAACCATATCAAAAACTGGCAGAAATGTAAAGAAAACAGAAAGCATGAATAACAGCACTTACCAGGCCAAAGAATGGGTACCAGTCACAGTGATTAGATGGCATTGCTTCAGATGTCCATGGGGTTAGGTCACCATAACTGATAATTCCATTGCCAAGCTGACAATATCTCATAAAATGTCTGCGAGAAAGAAAAACTCATAATTAAATAATTTCTGAACTTTCAGCTTTTAACAATATATTTATTATTGCTTTCTTTTGCTATATTAACCAACATGGCCATTACCATCACATCTTTTATTATCTTAGGAATGATAAAAACTGCCTATAGACCCCTTGCAGTCCATCGGAATGCAGCTCAATTTGCATTGGAGGACATAACAATAGGTTTCCCATACACTGATCCCGAATTCATTGTTCTACCTCCCTAGTTACTGTTGCTATGTCGGACAAGCTAAAATGTGTTTTTGATATACAGCATGGAATAGACACCAATTGCTGAAAATCATACTGTAAATGTCTGTCATAGATCAATCAATGAAGAAATAGAAAACGAGTGCTGTGTGCTGTCATAAAGCACGCGGGGTTTGGCAGAACAGGAGAGAAGTGTTAGGAGAAGCACGACGCGTAGAGGAGTGCTTCTGGACACTTCTTGAGTGTTCTGCCAATCCCCAAGTGCTTTATGACTGCATACAGCACAGCAAGCAAGTTTTCTTTTATAAAATACAAATTACAATAATAGATAGGAATGAAGCAACAGAAAGTGCACGCGCGTGCAATGTGCTCTTATAAAGCACGCACTCCAAACCAATCAGAGCGCGACATTCATAACAGTTATTTTATAATGCATTATAGAAGTGCATCGAGAAAAAATCAGTACTACTAAGGATCTTATGAATTCGAATTTGCGGATTGGACATTCTGTATTCTATTGGGAGATTACTCGGGAGATTTTCAGGAAATTGAAATTGATTTGTTTTGTCCAACAAATCGAGATGCTTTGACGTCACATGCAAGGCATCAAATAAACTTTTTTGTTTGCTGAGTTAAAAAAATTCACTCCCATCCTATTGCTTGCCTCTCATGAAGGGGTTGTCACAAATGTCTGTGTTGAAGACAACCCCCATCCCTTTCCTTCCAAAAAGGAAGATAGGTACATTTTAGTACATTAGATTAGACACCCCTATAACTAAATCTATGTTCACCAAGGCTACAAACATAAGGGATAAAGAATCCCAGTATCCTTACCTATGATATTCATGGCCAATGCCAAAGTTAATAGTATCCACAATAACCCCGTCAACTAATAATGTCTGGCTGTCAGATGATGCAGTGATAGCTACATGATGCCATTCATCATCAAGCCTTGGCCCCTTCATGAACTTGTAAGGCTCCAATGATCCTCTTATACATCTGTCAGGCCCTATATGCAGTAGCTGCCAGTGATATGTTGCCCAACGAGCAGAACTACAATACGATATAGAATGCTCTCTTAGGTTTGCAAAGCTACCCAAAGTTGGAAATGCTACCCCAGACTAACCCTAACCTCTGTCATCCCTTTTTGTCCTGCCTTGATCAATTGTTTAGTCGAATTCAAAGTAAGAAATTGATTCTCCTAATTTTTAATGCTTTTAAAGACCAATACTTTTCTTCTTCTCTGCTGCCTCTTGCCTAACCTGCATTCAGCCAGTATAATTTCTTTTGAAATAACTGTCTGCAAATCAGCACCAGAATCCTTGTTCCTAGTGATCCGAAATGAGAAGAGATTTGTGATTGGCTCTTGTCCGGTTATTTCAAGAAAAACTATACCGACTGAATGCGGGATACCTCTTGCCTTGTTTTGCTCTGAAGACCAGCTAGAGTACAAAAACTCCCCTACCCCACCCTACTCAGGGTGTATCTGTCAAACTTTGACACAAACAGATGTTACTATTTATTGAACTTTATGCGTGCCTTGAGCATAATATGAACTTAATATTAATATCAAAGTCTTTAGTTTGCAAAGATATAAAGGTCAAACGTTCAAGTCATTAGTCCTCGAGTTCTTTCTATACATATATAAACACACGAACGACACGTTAAGTCTTCATGTTCTATTTTTATCGATGATCACAACTTCATATTTTTCCTGTCTTTCAGTGCAAAATAATATCGTTATATTTCTACTTCTCTTGTTGTCCTTACCTCATAGATTCACTCTGACAACCAAGTATAATCCCATCAGGTTTTTTCTTATGCAGTTTTATCCATAACTCGACAGACATGCTTTCTGGTGCTTCACTATCAAACCGAATTCCACTACCTGATGTTCTCCTCACAAACTCCGCACAAAGTCTCTGCCCGTCCTTGTTTGCCTTCCTGAGCCCAAAAGACATAGCATAACTAGCCTTCAGATAAAGTTTTTTCCAAATTCCTTTACGAATGTTATTATTTTTAGACGAGGAATGATAATTGTTGTTATTGCCAGAAGGTAAAGTTAATAAATGATCGTTGTTCGATCGAAATCTTCTTTTCCAAACCACATCTTGATTCGTAAGATAAAAAAGCCGATGACAGGTGCAGCCGATGGTAAAAATGTCAGACACTGGTAAAAAAGAGAAAACGTGTAGCCAGATTTCTTCGGGAAGATCGGAGAATGTTGTAACGTCTCGTTGTTCTTGTTCCTTTGACTCCATCTTTGTTTGTGTGGAGTTTCGTCTTGGAGTGGGATCCCTGTGGTAGAAGAGAACAGGGATCCCAAGTGCTTTTAATATTAAATTTGGTAAATTTTCGTATAAAATGGAAATTAAGTATTAAAAAATATATATAGAAATTTGGTGAGATATTTGGTAAGCAATTGCTTGCAAGCTACAAAATAGATTCTAAAAGTTATTTCAATATGATTGCAACTTGTTTCTTTTTTCAAATTTGGTGAAATGAAATTTGGAAATTGGTAGGATATCTAGGGGAAAAATTTACATGGTAACGCAAACTCAATATGATCGCAATTTTTTTATATATGATTATTCAACTTATTCTCAAATATTGGCCGTAATTCAAAGTAGTAGCAACAGCAATTACAAATTAAATTATCGTTTTAACGTTTTAAGCGTACTCATTCTTGAAGAATTTTATGCTTTTATTGGTTTTGGGTTTTTGGTATTCAACGCAAATCAAAGGACAATGGAATGATTGACAGCTGTTCACAAGGATCGATTGATATCTGGGCCATTTCCATGTCAACTACGAATGCTTGCAAATCAGATAATCGCGATATTTTAATGAAATTTTAACAGCCTCGTGATCGTAGGATTTTAAAGATTTCTGCTGCAAAAACATACAATTGTGAGGTAGATTAAGGTTTTAGATTTTTTGAAAATTGATTCGGAGACGGCGGTGAGTGTTGTTTAGAAGAAAAACAGCATAAACGATAAATCATTTATCACTTTCACGCCATTTATATTTCAGTGTTTGTTTGTAGTGATCACCCAGCTGATAAACATCTCATGCACCGTTTTTGCGTGTTTCGTTGATCTACGAGGATAACTTTGGACAAAACTAATCAACTCGAGCACAGATTCAAGAGCGCATTTGTTTTGGAGCTTCACTCTTCCGTGCGTGACGTACTCACTAAACCTGGAACCCTGAAGTTGGATTCCATGGAGTTTGTTCTGGTATTTTAGCAAGCAAACAGGCCTGAGGTTAACAAGCCAAAATGATTGTGAAGCTGATAGCAAGGTCTCTGTAACCACTTCACATGACAATACAAAACAGAGAGCTTTTTGTGGAGTTGTTTATGGTTCAATATTTAGTCGCTTTGGTTCTTTGTTCGTCTATCACAAAAACATGTCGGATGATAGTGTTACTTTGGATATTCTTCAGCCTCCTAAGTACCCAAGCTCTGAAGACTTTGATTCAAGAGATGAACTACGAGAAAGAGAACTTGAAGAAGCTCGAGCAAGAGCTTCACAGATGGAAAAGACGATGCGATGGTGGTCTGACTGTACAGCAAATTGGAGAGAAAAATGGGGCAAAGTACGAGCAGAGCGGAACAAAGCCCGCGAAGAAAACAGGCAATTAAAGCTGAAACTAGAATCGGCAGCTAAGGAAATCTCAAGCTTAAGACGTGAAAAGCAGGATTTAAATGATGGAAGAATTCGTTTAGAGAGGGAAATTGATAAGCTGGAGAAAGAGTTAAGGAAAGACAGGCGGGCAATACCGTCAGCTCGTGTGGAGCCATCATTAAAAGGTCAAAATGAAGATGATCTAAATATAAACGTCTATGGAAGGACTGTACCTAAACCTGGCTCTGAACAACAGTTTGTTCGACAAATATTGGAAAAGAATGATTATTACGATGAAGAAGAACTTGACTACGCTTTCCCAGAAGACGAACGAAGAAGACCTAGTAGTTCGAAAATTAGAGGTCAAAATTACGAACTTGATGACAACAATAATCATGAAATCAGAATTCTCAAGCGAAAATTAGAAGAGATGGAACGTCTTTTAAGTGATGAAAGAAGGTAAGGAATCTTTAGCTTTTAAATGTATCATTTATATGTAGTATTATTTTTCTTATAATTTTAATAAGTGTTTAATTAATGGAAGCCATTTCAATGCTATTATGTTGCAAAATAAAGAAAAACATCTGTAGTATTTGAAGTATTCCGGAATTAACATAAAATAGTTTTGAGATTTTGTATAAAGTTCAATTATATAGGATTTTAAAATTTATAATTGATCAGTTTTATCGCTTAAAGCTTTCCCCAAATCACTTTCCTTTAAACAAACAAGTGTGTGAAGACTATGCATTTAAACCGTGAACTCAAATAATATTGGCCCATTTCAAATAACAATTCATAATGATTTGAGAAAAAAAGTCAAGATTATTCATGTTTTTTGGCAAACGTAAAAATGATATTCTTACGAGATAAGGTTTTGTTAATGACTGACGATCATAAAGCAATTTTCTTAATGTTTCTTGTGCGAAAATGAGCTCAATATTCAAGATTGTGAAAACCATCATTGTCTAGAGTGTATCTCGGTTCATGCATGAAGGGCTGTTATAAAATAGTTTAGATATAACGTGCGCTTTGATTGGTCAAAAAAAACATGTTTGATGATTTAGTATAATCTATGGGAAGTTCTTTATAAAATCTATAGCGAATTTCACACCGGGGGTGGGGGAGGGGGGGTACTCCCATATTCAGGGTTTCTCCTTTCGTAATGACCGAAACTGGTTACTATGGTCTTCAAAAAGCGATACGCGTGATAATTGAAACAGGAACTCAGTGCAATTAATTATATCTTTTGTCATAAACAGGGTCTACAAATTTGAGGGTTTTTTTTGTCATAAACAGAGTACCCTTTTCAGAAACCCAGCGGAACACCCCTACCCAAATCCTGGCAGAGTACCCCCCCCCCCGGGATTTCACAGCAGCCTCAATGCGCTTTACATTCGTTGCGATCAGTGGAGGACTTTATGCGTTTATGAGGGAGGGTGATCTTGGGATTTAACAGTTAACTGACAATTGGTCTAAAAATGACTAGTTAACTGATATACTGTTAAATGATCCCTTGTAGTGAATAGTTTATGCTGGTATATTTTGGGGCAGTAGTGTAATTAAACAGCATTTATGAATCCATAAGACCATAAATGTGTAGCTTCATCACCTCGTGTGGCTCAGAACTGCTTCATTTTCAGTAGCATGCATCGTGGCATGCATTATTCATGTGATATGTCTGTACTTATGACCATTTTGGGTAAATCTGCATCGGCCACAGCAAGCCTGCGTAGCCATCCCTCATTCTGTGGGGTAACAAACACAGCCCTTTTTTCTCCTTATCCCTCGTATAACTATCGTATTATCCATCGTATAAGTATGACCAGTATATCGTATATATTTCGGCAGTGGCGGATCTAGGGGTGGGTTTTGGGGGTTGCAACCCCCCTATGAGAGCCATCGTGATTTATTATCTTAATATTATTATTTTTTCATGACAACACCAACAGCATCGCGAGTTTTATCAAAACAGGGGTGCCGAACACATTTCCCTCGCTTTTTTTTCTATATGCCGTGTGTGGGACCTGAAACAACCATGCTCGCCTGCAGCAAATAATCATTATCATAAGACCTACTTCCGTTTGGGAACCCTGTGCTACTTTCCCGCCAAACAAGTACCTCAATCAATGCTACAACCCCCTCTTTGAAAAAATCCTGGATCCGCCCCTGTTCAGTGAAACGGCATGTAGTGCCGTATCATTCACACTCGTACGAAAACCACTTTACGTAAATACCATCAAGTCTTAAAATTAGCCGCGAGGAGATTTTATTTAATGAACGTAATAAGCCGCGCAACCGGCACGAGCATGGTACGCAAATGACGTCACTGATTCCCCATTTCAGTGACATACGTACGTATCACCGTAAACCGCTCTAGAGCAGTTTTCGTATAACTGTGAAAAGACGGTCCCGGTAAGCTTGCCGTGACCGTGATGTTTTTTCTTTGAACTTGAATTAGCTTTTTTTATCTCGCGCAATATAATTGGTCTGATAGTGCCTTGTCCGCGCCATGTTTATGCCTCAATCCAGGTTTTCATTGGATGGAGAGTAAATTTTCGTGCAATGTGACTGGTCTGGTGTGTACTTTGCTGTGTCACGACCGTGTTCGTGCCGCGAGGTTTTCATGGTCATACGAAAACTGCACAATGTAAATACCTCCAAGTCTAGGGGATTTTACTAAATGCATGAATAAATGATCATTGTCTTTTTTTCAGTTCCAAGAGTAATTTAATGGAGGAAATAGATTGTCTACAGTCAGACCTGACGTCACTGAAATCAATCAATGAAGACCTGAAGTCTAACAAAGCTGGTACAGAATCAGAGGTATGACATCATTTACTACCCAGAATTCAGGGGGGGAAAACATTGCGTCCTTTGCCTGGAGTTGCTGATAGCTCAGATTCCGCGCTCGTTCTTTTCCTTAACAATATTTGCGCACTTTAGTCGGGGATGCCTAAATCACAGAACCAATTGGGATTTAGCGTTTTAGGTTTTGCGAAGGGAGGAAAACCGGAGAATCCTGAGAAAAACACTTGAATCAAGGGAGACCTAAAAAACTTTACACGCATGTGATGGCGAGTCTGGGAATCGAACCCGAGGCCCCACGCAGAGGTGCGAGGTGAGTTCACTTGCGAAGGTTGGTATGTTATGGCTCCGCGTGTGCGTAGCCAACGTTTAGGGCAGATTTGAACACATAAGTTGTATTTTAGTATAACGCACTACAACACTTATATTATTATCAAATTATGACTATTTTATCCTGCATTCGCTTCGGTAAATGGTTTCTCCGCATGAACGTTAAGAAAGACATGAACAAACACGTCGTAGCTGTTGCTATAGAGTGAGTTTAGTCAAACCAGAGTTCTGGTCAAAATGTTGAATAGTTGACGTCCGCTTAAATTAGATAAGTTATCTACCGGTCCACAATGTGACTAAATGCACTCTACTCTGGCAATAAATTAGTCCATATTTTCAAGTCTTGTCCGTCACTTTTACTAAAATATCTTACACTCTTGAAAATACTAGAGAGGAAATATTGCGTTGTTTGTGTGTTATTTTCAGCTTGCGAGGATGAAGAATCGATACCATAAAGACGTCAATGGATTAAATGCTGATTCAGAGGAAGTGTATAGCTCCTCTGTGAATGCCAAGAAGCTTAAAGAAATGAGAGCTGAGGTAACAATTGTCAAGTACTGTGTAGTGGTAGAGTAAATATCGTATGACTGTGCAATGGCACGCGGCACGATCACGGTGTTAAATAGATGACATCCTTTGAACCAATGCAGTACAGCCCGCGGGATTACTCGTTCTTGCAATCAAAATGCTTTGACACGGCACGGGCACAGTACGGGATGCCCGTATCGAGCGTTTTCACTGTCACAGCTACGTAGACTGCTCTATCTTGTTTTGAGAGACACAATACTGGCTTGCGTAAAATGTACACCGGGCGGTATTGAGGTCATTCTAGTCAACATAAATGTGACAAACTTTTAAACTTTGTTATCAGATTGAACGACTGCAAACAGATAACTCCCTCGAGTGGAGCAAGAGGGAAAAGCTGGAAACCGAGAAGGCAGCTTTGGAAAGAGAAAATAAGAAATTAAAAAACCAAGTAGAGGTAGGAATAGATGACTGCGAGTTTAATATGAATTGTACCTTGGAAGAAGAGTATGAGTGAAAAAGGCATACTGCTCAAGAGCGTGTGACACGTGTTTTTATTATTCGTTGATTTGCTCACCATTTTCTGCAGGATTTGGAAAGTCTGTTAAACCACAAAACAGCCAGAGCATCAAAGATCATGGACACAGATTTAAAACAGCTGCAAACACAAGTCGAAGAGAAATCCGCGGTAAGAAATGACATATGTTTTATAAAACTTTTACTCCAAATGTTTTGTATTACATGGGGAAGACTAACACTAATAGTGTGCGCTGCTAGCGCGTCGCCTCTCAATGATGCGACCTGGATTCCAGGGCTGGATTCAGGGGTGATGAAGGGGATGGCTAGTCCCCCCCCCCCCCCCCCCCCCCCCCCCCCCCCCCCCCCCCTTCGTCTTTCCTTAATAAGCCACTCCCTTTTTCTTGCATTNGATGCGACCTGGATTCCAGGGCTGGATTCAGGGGGGGGGGGGGGGGGGGGGGGTTCCCCCCCCCCCCCCCCCCCCCCGCTTTTGCTCACATTTCTTAGTATTTCCTTAATAAGCCACTCCCTTTTTCTTGCATTCCCGGTAAAAACCTTAGTAATAGTCATCCCCCTTCCGAAATTCCTGGATCCGCCACTGTGGATTCTATGTCATATTCGCTTGTTGTCCCTGTACTGTCCTCCTTTTGAATTCCTGGTTTTGTGGTTTGCCCCCTCCGAGAAAAAGGAAGAAAGAAAGAAAGAGAGAAAGGAAGGGAAGGGAAGGGAAGTGAAGTTTGGTAATTAGTATCTTGCTCGAGAGTAAGGCCCTAAGACACAGTATGTTACTCATCATATCATTTCAGGAACTGGTAGATCTGAGATATGCGTACAATAAAATCAAAAAACAGTTCCAAGAAAAGGTAAATATGGTTTGGCAAAATGAACATTAACCATCATGCTATGTAACTGAAGCAAAGCAATAGACCGTTTTCTCAAGGTTGCGTGCGCATCCAATCTTGACGGGACACAAAACTGAAAAAAAGCAAATTCAGAATTGAGAATCCAGTTTTATATTTAAAGAGAAGAATAATCGATTTTATGAATTATTATCGAAAAAACTCACACAAATGTATGATAATTCTCGTCAGTTCCAGCGAAGGCCCGTGGAATTTCAAAAATGTTTGTATTGTTAAGTTGTGCATTCTTTACTTTACCCTTTTTTGTGAATATTTAGACACTGATTCAAGCCTAACCCTGAGTAATTGAGTCTTTAATCAAGGAACACAGCGCTAATTTGGAACTAGAAATTCTCTACGACATGGCTGTCTTGAAAACACTCGATTATATATTGTCACAGGAACTTAGTTCTTTATCCAAGAAGTTATTTGTCTATTCCTTGCCATACAAAACTATAAAAGTTGATTCATATTGCTTTACGGATATTTACAGACGGCGGAACTCGAGCACTCGAACAAGAGAGTTGAACAACACGACATTGAAGTCAAGAAAMTACGCATGCGTGTAGAAGAGTTGAAGTTAGAGTTAGCCAAAGCAGAAGATGAGGTATGGTCTCTAGTTAGAGAAAACTCGTGAAGATTCTTATCGCAAGTATTTTGTCCTTGTCTATTTTTTCCTTCGCTTCCTTCCTTCTTTTCTTCCTTCTTTTCTTCGTTCTTTCGTTCCTTTCTTCCTTCATTCGTTTTATTGGTGTTTTTTTTCGTGAAATCGTTGTGCTAGTAGTCACTTAGTAATTTAGCACCATTTTAATTTTTTTCTTTTAGATCGACTCTCAATCGAACCAAGCTCGTAAGATCCAGAGATCTTTAGACGAGCAAACAGAGCGAGCAGAGAGCCTGCAGGTTCAAGTACAACACTTAACGTCCAGGTAAGTCAGAGACTAAACAATAGTTGCTCTCTATGACATTCTCAAACTGATTACGAATCAATAACCATTAGGATAAACCATGCTTAGTCCGCGTATCTTCTAGTCAGTGTTCATCTGCTTAGCGCTGACCAGAAAAAACAAGCCTTTGCTCGCCTTTGCTTGGATTATGCGGTAGGGTGAGGCAGGTACTAAGTTTTCGCGCCAAAACTGGGCTACCTGTGTTATTCAGTAACAGTCTTAACGTTTTCCAAAAGGCTCAAACTGCTTGCCCTAAACACTAACCCTATTCAGGATCATTTCTTCTCTTCCTTTCTTTCTAATCTTTACCGAGTTTTCTCTTTATCTTTAAAAATTCTTCTTTTTTTTATTTTCTAAATCACTCTTGTCTTATTCCAAACTTGTTTTCCTCTCTAAAGCCGTCTTCGTACTCGCGATTTCCTCTAAGGATCCATGCAAGGGTTAGTGGATTTTTTACGATCACTAAACTTTAACCCGGTTATACTTGAAATTATCAATAAATGCTTAATCATTAGCGCATGACAACCTCTTGTTAATTTGGCTATATGGTTTTGCTTTCCATCATCAAAAAAATTAGTGACAAAGAAATCTACGACGGCGCCGTCAACCGGCAGTGTAAATATCTTCACTTTAGGGTTTCGCGCCCTCAAAGTATGTCTTTCTTGTGGATAAAATTCCCTAAAATCCCCTTATTAACCTGTTAGTGTAGAAATCGAAACAAGAATTTAGCTCACTAGAATTCTGTGCGTTGATCAATGGCAGATGTGAATGATTGACTCTTTTTCTCGATCGCTCTTTTCGCAGATTACGAACCTCAAATATTTCTAGTAACAATACTCGCAAGTATTCAAGGAAGTCTCCTGTCCATATATCTACAGACGATGACAGTGATTTAGATTGAAGACAGGATACCTTGGAATCGAGCAAGCAGTAAACCTGGGGTGCTTACCATTCACCGGAAAAACTGAAAATTCTGAACACAAATTTAGCAAACGAATTTCCAACCGGATGGATTGGCTTAAATAGTAAGCATCCCTGGATTTCGGATTATGCCAGGATAACGTTCCAGACTGATGATAATGATATAAGACGTGCTGCTGTTGCTGCTGCTGCTGCGGCTGATGATGATGATGACAGCAGTGTGTTATACAAAATGTGCCTGAAACCAAGACTTATGCAAATCCTTTTATCAATTAACCACCTTAAACTTATCTTGCAAGAGGTTATTGCACTGCTTTCCCTTGCCGCGAGAACTAAGGTTCAGGTCAAACGTCGAACATCACATTAGCCGAACCTAATCGAAACAATGGATAACAAGGTGGTGGTTCTTTGATGTCATTAGGTTCGGCTCATGTGAACCTTGACGTTTAAACTTAGGTGTGTTCTTTTCACATTACGTGTTATTCTCTTTAGAATAAGATTCTTTGTTTTGGTCGTATCCATATTCATGTGTCTTCTTCTGCACAATCGCAAACAAAGAAATTATACTCAAGGGAGTGACACGTTTCGAGAGGGAAATGGACTAACTTAGTTCATTCTCTCTTGCACATCTGAAATGGGAAAAAATTATCCCAAGCTAAAAAACTTCTATAGACCCCTTTACAGCACGTCGGAATGCAGCTCAATTCGGAGCACATAACAATAGGTTTCCAATTCTCAGGAGATTGAAATTATTTTGTTTTATCCTCCAAATTGATCGAATTGATCGAATATGGAATTTTAATCTTTTTGCACACTGGAAAATTTTTACCAAGAAAATGTTTTTAAATAAGCAATAGGCCTATGCCACGTTCGATAAATAAAATGCCTAACATGAATTTGGGTTACCAGGAATAAAACTATCAAACCCTTATCAAGGAAATAAGTAGATCTAGTGCTGAATATCAGTGCAATCCCTGTGGTGCAATATTGTCGTTGAGTGGCGAGCGCGATTCTAATACTTGATAGAAACTTCATGTATGATACAGCCTTGTATTTACGAAAGAAATGAATTTGGAAATATCATATTTCTGTACATACATGAAGTACCGTACCTCGTCTTAACCTGTTATCCAACGTGGCCTATTCCCTTGTCTCTTGTCATAATTTATCAGCCTGGTTCACACGAAAAATGCGAATGCGAATTTCATTTCCTTTCAACTTTGCGCGCCCGCGCGCGTTGATTGCATCACGAATAAACAGAAATAAAAGTGAGTACAATTGTGGACTATCGCAGTAGTGCTTGATTATACATTTWAAAAAATCCTTTGCACCTACTGCGCTTGCGTATTGATTTGTTCGCATTTGCGTTTCACATGTAAACATTTCTTGCGATTGTGTTTGTATTTGCAAGGCTCTTGCGAACCAGGCCGTTTGAGGAAAGGTGTTTTTATTCGAAAATAATTATTAAATCCTAATTATTAAATATGTTTTACATATTTTTATTATTGTAGATTCGAGGTTCGTGTTCCGTATTACAACCGTTTTTATTTGGGATGAAATATGATCTTTTAACCTTTTTGTTTTTTGTTTGTTTTTTTTGTTTTTTTGTTTTTTTGTTTTGGTACTAGCGTGATGCCGGACCAAGATGGACTTATGTAGTTCCACCCGATATCTTTTAACATTGCTAAATTTAAAAAAGTGTCCCACCCAGGTTTATGTTACACAGGTATTCCAGTTTCAGGCTTCAACATTATTGGCATAATAATTATTCCGCAAAGAGTTATTCCTTCACATACAAGTCACCCTCTCGCAAGACACAGGTATCCCAACTGAACAAAACAACGCAGTAAGGACCAAGAGAGCACCCTGAAATATAGCTTTTTTAAAATGCTATTATGATTCTTATTTTTGGGAGTACAAGGGAATTTGTCTTGCAACAAGAGATTATAAATAAGTTATTTATACTCTCTTGTTGGCAACAAATCCACGTACCCTCGGAGTTAGATTGATTGGCAAGTCCCTATCTTTATAAGCAAAATACATAACATCTAGTACACCGACGAAACAACCGTACAAAACTTATACTAGAAAATACAATATTTTTCTTTTTGCTAAAAATAATTTTTATTTATTGTTTGTCCCTTGCCCCTCCCCTCCCCCTGAAGTGTAGTTTTGTCCTCCCCTGGGGCTCACTGTTTGTTGATGTCTTGCACAAAAGGGCGCCATTTTCGTATGCAGAAGAAAAGCTAGGTTTGATTCCCGTTCAAAAAGAAAGCCGATCAAGTATGACTAGGATCAAATGTCCTCCCTTTTGCAAACGTAACTGCATTCAAAAGCACCACGATTTGTTGCTAGCAGTTTTGAACATCCCATCCGAGAATAAAGGAAGTAAAAAGAACGACAGCAATGGCGGCTTGGAAGAGTTTGAATCGGTTGTCCAAAGCTACTTGAAGAAAGGTTGGCAGAAGAACGATGTCGTGCCAGATGCAGTAGAAGATTATCGGTTCCCTTTAGTACACTGGACTAGTGTACTGGGGAAGACGAAAGCACTAGAATGGTTGATAAAACATGGTGAGTAGTAAGCTTAACATATTCTTATTTCAGTAAAAGCTTGATAGAAGGTAGTAGAAATTTAGCAGTCCAAGCCGGACCAACACTTAGGGTCTTAGGCGAGGTAAAGGTGTTTTTGCCTTTGTTAAAACATCTACGAATGGTTAGACTTTCACATGGCTTGGATGACCATGTAAAATGGCTTTCCCTTTTTCCACACTACCTCACCTGACCACCTCACCTAGTTGCATCAGAGGGACGTAAAAGAGCACAAAGTAAAGAAACCCTGGCAGTGACCACCCTCAGAGCTAAGGGGATTTTAAAGGGGGTTGGAAATTAGTGCAATGTACCCTGGACTTCTGTGTCCTATCATAAAGCACCAGTCTGGGGGCAAAATATCAAATAAAAAGGAGTGCATATGAAGGGGTTTAACTGATACCTGTCCTTCAAAAAATGTCCTTAAATTTATCTTTTTTTATGCTATACATATAGGCTTTGACCCGAATGTTAGAGCACCCACAACCAAAGAAACAGCTCTCCACAGAAGTTTACTATGCCTAGAGCTCTCTGAAATGTTCCTTAATAGAAAAATGCTTGAGCGTAAAGTTGAAGTTCAGATTGACTTACTTAAGAACTGTCTGATATTAAAGGATCGGAGTATGGATACACCATTACATGTAGTGGCTAGACAGCTGCTAGAAGGACGGAGGAAAGATCATTTTGAAGACTGTATTAAACTCATGCTCGCAAAGTTAAAAGAATTTTACCCTGAGCAGTTTAATGATATCATAAATGCGCAGAATTCTGTGGGAGATAGTGTAGTACATATACTTGCATGCAGTGAAGATGCCTTCTGTGGGTTGCGGATGGTAATTAATGAAGGAGCAGTTACCTCTACTACTAACATGGATGGGAAAACCCCTCTTGACGTTGCGACTGAAAGAGGATCCATCAAAGCAACAGCATTGCTTAAAAGGCTTACAGATGAGAGGATGTCAAATCAAACTGATGATGCAGATTTAAATGGAGTCACAGATGAAGCTTCCAATGATGAGGAAGAAGAGCAGTCAACAAAAGTAAATAAAACTTCAAACCTTACACAAGGGATATCCAGTGATTTAGAATGTTCTTGTAGGATTAAGAGAGAGCACAATTACAGTAATGTAAGTTTTTCATAAACACTAATCAGGCACAACTAATCATGCTTTGATATAAGCATTCATGAAATATGAAAGTACAGAGCTCGTAAAAATAACGGCCATTCATCGGAGAGTGTCTGGCCAGAATTGTGATTCATTGTTTTTTCCTTTTGCTTTCCTATTTTCTGATTCTGATTCTGAATTCAATGAAAGAATAGGCCAATACCCCCACCCCCACCCCCACACAGACCTCACGCTCAGTCACTAACCTTGATGCATGTATTGATATCATTGCACTAGTATCAAAAATCAACTGCAAGGTAAACTTATATTCCATTCACTTCTAATCTAGGAACAGAGATCACAGGATAACAGCACTAATACACTGAACTTAGGTGAGTCTCATGAAATGTCCATATTTCCCCAATTGCAAAATCATTGTTTGTTTCGAAACATCGAAGGTAGAGTGAAGGCATTTAACCCGTGAAATAGATGATAAACTAATACACTTTAGTAGACCCTTATTCCATTGTCTTCTTTTGTGTCTATTTGACTTTAACACGTTGACTAGTATTTTATATTTCATGGGGTAAAATGCCTTCTCTCTATTCTTAGAAATGACAATAATTATCCATAATTATCTTGTGATGTATTCATTTGAGATGCACAGTCCATATGAAATGTGTTATAAGCCTCCATGCTTTCAGTCAGTGCAATGTAAAACAAAGTGTCTAATATTATAATGGGAAGTATGGGTGGCATGCTCTGTTAATGTTTCACCTCTCACCAATGCAACCCAGGTTCAAGTCCTGCCGGGCTCAGTGTCATATGTAAGTAGAGTTGTTTGTTGGTTCTCTCCTGTGCTTCAAGGGTTTTTTTTCTGGGTTCTCAGGTTTTTCCTCCCTCCACAAAAATCAACTTCTAAATCCTAATACAATCTTGGCTGCCTTATAAGTGGGTTTGCAAAACCTGTTATGTCGTCTACCCAGGAGTGGTAAATGCATTAGAACATCTTCACCATGATTCTGATATCCTTAAAGACTTCAATTTAGGACTCACTTTCCATCGACAATGCAGTAGTGTCTTTATATTGGTGCCCTTCCCTCGGGTGAAAGAATTTTATTCTTGACTGAGGTTTGTGGCTAGCCAATATTATTAATGCAAATAATTTACTGTTTTCATTCAGATCAAAACATCAATCTTCTTGGTGCATTAAGAGCAACAGGGCTGTGGGGTAATGTCAAAGAACTGGCTAACAAAAAGAAAAAAGAAGATGAAAAGGTTTTGGCTTCAAAGCTTGAAGAACTGCAAGGTAAAACCAAGCCAGAAATGATGTTGGTAGTTTACTTAATGTTTAACGCTTTCTTTTTTTAAATATATTATTCTCGCATCTTGCCTCTCGTTGGCTGAAGAATTCAAATTTTCTGCAGATAATACATTTATCATGTCAAGTTAACCCAAGGGCACAAAGATTAAAATGCAGCTTGGTTTTATATCTTTGTTTACAAAATGTTTAACCACTGTCCCTGCCTCTCTTATACCCTTCCCCAGGGGAGGGGGTATGTATCATTATGTCAAGCCTCCTACTGGGACCACATAAAAGGTTTGAAATATTGTAGTGACATAATTCAACAGGACACCAACTCAAGTTCGAGATAATGGGAAGTCTGAGACATCCAGGGTTCAAGATCTATAATAGGACTCTATATTACTGCCACCTGGTTAGCTCAATAAGAGTGTCGGTCTGTGTGGGCTGGAGGTTGTGGTTCAAGTCTCAGCAGAACCAACACTCAGGGTTTTAAAATAACTGAAGAGAAGGTGCTGTAGTACATCAAGACGATGTATAACTGTGTTATGTAAGAACTTCCCATTATTATTATTATTATTATTATATTCAGCCACAAATGAGGCTATTGAAGATGCCAAGAAAGTGGTGGAAGACACCATCACAGGAATAACATCAAAGGAGAAAGAACTCGAAAGAATCAAGAAAGAGGTAGAGAAGGCGAAAAAAGAGTTAAGCTACATGGAAAATGAACAACACAAGTTAAAAAGAAAGAGAAGTTCATTGAATAATGATTGCAGTGAGCTGGAGAAAAGGCTTCATTACTGTGACAGCCTCTTGAAGGTACATGAACCTCAACAAGAAAGCCAAAACTCTTAGTTGCTATGGCAATACTGGTTACAGCTGGTAAATGCTGCTAGTAGCACAGAAAGGGAAATTTTTAATTTCCATGGCAACAGTGGTCCACTTTGAATGTAACATGACTGTGGCTGTAACAGGGTCAGAAACAATGACCACAGGCATTAGAAATGGAACCTAGGAACTTCAACACAGTCCTTGAAACTTAAGGTTGGTTTATTTGTTACTATGGAAACAGCTGTCGTATTACCTTGGTTACAGTACATCTAATATATTATTCCGCAGAAGTCATTTTCCATGCTGTTACTCTGCAGTGCCATGTTATGAAAGTTATGAATTGATATCTGCTAAAGGCCTAGCAGATGTTTGTTGTGTATTGAGGAAAATTAGAAAAGTTTAGTCTTTACTTTTTAAATAGCGTTTTTAAAGGGGCTGGTTAGTGTTTTTATGGCCTTGTAACTGCTGGATAAGATTTCTACTCAAGCAGAAGATTCACAGCATTAGACAGTAGACACAAACTGTGCATCAGTTTAGTATTGTATGTAAAAATACTAAAAAGTCAAAAAATAGACTTTTTGTTAGTAAGTCAAGGTGTATTCTGGTCTAGCAAATATGGGTAAAAATAGCATCAACAAATAAATGGAATAAGTCAAGAACCTTTTTGAAGATAGACAAACAAGGTGCAAAACCATACCTTGATAAGAAGTGATCAAGATAGGGCTTTTGCCAATTAGATTAGAACAGTGTTGTCATTTACACCAACACTCAAAATAAAGTTATTTGAGATTTTATTTACAATTTTTTTCCATCTTGATAAAAAATAATTAATAGTTTTTATTTAGTGGCCATTAGTCACTACTAGTCAGAGCATTCATAATATCAATAATAAAAACTATTACCCAATAACAATTTTGATGTTATCATGTTATCTCACAAGGCAGATTTTCAATGAGTAAGGATGGGGGGTGGGGTGATTTGGACATGGAACATATGTTCACTGGATGCACAGCAACCATTCATTGGAACGAACCACTACACACCTATTTCAAAAAGGTTGTCTGACCCAAAGGAAACAGGCATAGGAGATACCATAGGTCATTCCAAGATGGAAAGGAATAATTTAATATGGACACATATGTAAATACCAATAATGTTTAAAATGGCTTCTTCCACTACGAGTATCACTAAATATATCACAACACTAGCCTCCATGGTCTTGAAAATAAGAGAAAACAAAATTCATTCCAGCTTTTTTTGCATCTTGGAATGACCTAATCTCTTATCCCTTATTGTCTATCACCTATTGCATATCTCCTATCTTCTATTGCTTAATGCCTTACTCCTTTGGGTCCAACAACCTTTTTTGTAAAAGGTGTATTCCAAAGAATTTGAAGATGAAAGTATCCAATCAGCATAAGATAACCTAAAAGTTCCATACTCAGGTTTATTAATATCTTCTGGTCCAAGCATTTCTCAGCAGTTGTATCGGTAGTAAATGGTTTCTCTCTCTCAAACTGGAATGAAATAAGTCAAAGTCTACTCTTTGTATTTTGTTGAGATAATGCTGGCAGGAAACCTGAGAAAATAAGAATAATTTTCCTTTAAGTGAAAGGTTTATCATTTCTAAACAAGTTGAAATAATGATAAACCTTTGGGTATAAATGTTTTTCGATTTCAGACCACATGTCATTCTCTTCTTCAGAATAAAATAATTTGTTTTGTATGATTGGGCATGAGAAAACACATGAATATAGATGAAACTTAAACAAAGAATCTTATTCTCAAGAGAATGACACGTGGTCTGGAATGGGACAACATTACTCCTAGGCTCGAGGCGTCATCAATGCCATGATGCAAGCCAAAGGTCTTATTATTTGCCAAGGCAGGACTTGGATGAACCAATGACCTCCTACACCAGGGACCAATGGAGCTAACTATTGGACAGCCAAGCACTTTTGTGTGTGTGGTTGAGGGGGGCGGGGGTAGAGTAGGGGGCAAATCTCTTTTTTTTCTACAAAACAGAACTAAAACAGTATTTGAACTTACTGATGGAAGAAATACCCTGAATGCAGCTTTTGGTATTTTAGTTTTAAAAGACTGGGCCTGTAAAATAAAAGCATGAGAAGCCATTATTATACAAATAGCCTATTCAATCTAAAAAGATATTATGAAAGGTTGACATGCTTTAGGATGGCCTTACCGTTGAAAGATGATTATTAGCCAAGCTAGCAAGCTCAAAGGTGACATCTTTGACGGGCTGTGCTGTGCTTCCCTTGATGATGTCTTGATGGGAAACATTATGCTGGATTAAGAGAAAGAGTTGGTTTTAGTTTTGCAAAATGTTGCCAACTAAGAAAAATGAATGTCATACCTGGGCATATCCAGGATTTGTAAGGGGGACTGCTTCTCACCTAAAATATATCAAAAATCCCATGTCTGGAGTTTCTATTTGAAAGTGAGACAATTTACCTTGATAAGGATATCATTAGGTATGTAGACCTTTCTTCTGTTTGCAAGATAGGGGGCTGCCCTGAGGAGTGTTACAATGCCAACAGCTTTGCCGATGTGACTAGCTGCATGATCAGCATGAACATCTTTTATACCTGAAAAAAAGAAAATTGGCAACTATTTTATAACCAGCTTCTTGGTTAAATTCTAGAATAGAGGCTTTGCACCCATCACATGATAGCAGCCATGTTAGATCGCAGGAATAATGCAATCCTTTTACATGAGAAAGGACTCAATTCCCGAGAGCAAAGGGATTTTGTTATGCCATATTCTAAYCACAGGCATTCCAAGCTAGATTATAAGTGCCAGCACTTGATGGTGCAAAGCCTCTATTAGAGCATATTTTAATAGATAATTATCACCTAGATAGTTATCATCATTTGAAAGTTGTTTTTTTTTTTGTATTTTTTTAGTAATTTTATTAGTTTTTAATATTATTCATAATAGGCTTTTGAATTATTATTATTTAACCTAGCATATTAGTAAAACTTTTTATTCTTTTCAATATTCAATATTGTAAACTTTATGTTAAATTAGCGTAATGTCTATATTTGGACTGCTGTAAGACACATTAATTTTGAAAACGCTATGTTAATATCAATAAATATATTTCATTCATTATTTTTCTCTACATGCATCTATAGCTGTATGCGATCTGCCAATCCCTAAGGTGGGCCAAATTGGTCATCTATGGGAACATAGCGAGTGTGATGGAAGCTAAGATATGCAGTCAGCCTATTTCATTTGTTTATTGTGTGCACTCTAAATGACAGTGCAAATATGTCTAATCTCCATAAGCGACATCTTCAAGAGTAGGTTACTTATCAGGCCACTTTCTAACACAACAATCAGTCCATTACCTGCAGCCTCCAGAACAAGATACAAGACAGATGATACAGAGTTTTCACAATATACTTCAAGGTTTTTTACACTGGTGTGTGGTCTATCTTCTAGATTACTTTCCTAAAAGTAATTTTGAAATTACTATTTATTAATAGCTCCAGAAAATATCAATTAAAACTCAGCGAGGATTTCCCTGAGTGGGGAAGGGTGGTTCTTGGTATGAAAGCCTGAGAGAACAGAAGTCAAGAGTTAATTTAGTATAAATGCAGTCATTCTCATGATCATCACATAAATTAGATGAAAAGTACCCCTTTATAATGGAATCACTTCTTGAGACATAACATTCAAAAATGGATACAATTTATTTATGTTCATTTTTGTTCAATGATGTCTACCTACACTTGTGAAACTCTTAGCCATTCCAAAGTTGAGGAAAAAACTGGGTTGAGTTGGCTTAACAGTGCATTAGGGGACTGTTTTAGGGGATGAAATAGATGCCATCTTGGAAATATGTCCCCTAAAACCACCCACAATGCAGTGCAGTGCCAACTCCACCAGTTTTTACTTCAACCTCAGAATGGCTTTATAAAACCTACTCGTGCATCAGTTAATCTTGTAAACCACATCTTGGATAAGTTGTGTTTCTGAACAGCCTCTATCACTGCTAGGGCAACTGGATGCTGTGGAGGGTGACCCTAAAAATATCAGACCATGTTATTGTGACCAGTTAAATGGCTCAGGAAAAACTTGTGTTTTGGAGTTATACATCAGTAAATAAAACAGACTCTACCAGGAATGTGAAAAATTTAAAATACAGAATTTCTGTTTGTCTTCACAACACAACGATCTCTCTTGTGTCTCTGGTCATGATACAATCATGTCACGATGCAATCACATTATTTTCAAAACACACTAGCGTGCGCTCAACTGTAAAATAAAACTGAAAAATGTAAGTACATTTGGCTACATTATTGTATCATGTTCTAGCTTCTCTTAAAAATAATTAAATTAGTGCTTTTCCATTTGTCAACCATTTATAGGAGTTCCAAGTGGAATCCATCCCCAAAAAAATGATGAAACAATGATTTTGAGATTCTATTTGTTAGAAGTTTCTTAATCATGCTGTCTTTCTCAAGGCACATATGGGATTTTAACACATCACTCCCTCAATTAAAGCCTGCATTTACCAGACCTTATATATTCACACACACATGGCATACCATATTTGGGGTTTCACATGCAGCATTAATTCAGGGATGGTGCTTATTAATAATCTTGGTCTTAGGCATGGCACTTATTTGAGAGTGCCATTCAATCGGGGGTGGCACTTGCAGTATATAAGGTAATAAATTTTATTTATTCATACCTTGTAGATTTTTTCCATGGTGTCCTTCCAAAACTGTATTCTCATTTTTCCAATGTGTTTTTCAGTCACCATGTCTTGTATCTTTAAGTTAAGTCATTCAGGTAAGCTTTATATTATTATTGCAGAAACAAACACTTGTCGTCACACATGATCTAATATATATTGTTGACTAACCAAAATATGGAAACAAAACCCCATATATTGAACTACATGAACTGAAAATTGAATTGGAACTGCAATGATAATAATAATAATAATAATAATAATAATAACGCTCATTTAACACTCATTAGTCAAAAAAATTCGAGTTATAAATTTCTCCTGAACTAAACAAATTTTTTTTAAATTGCATGACTTTTCGCGGCCAAGGAATGAAAATTTTAACAAATTTCAAATCTCATAAATATTCCATGACCGCATTAAAAAAACTCAAAATGCTAACAGAATACCAACCTGTGCAAGTTCTACGTTGAAAGCACGTATTGCTAATGCAGAATTCCGGGTTGCTTTGGGAAGAAGAAGTGTACAGAGAAAATTTTCGTAATCCATTCGCCTGGAAACAAAAACAGTGTGCGTTGAAAAAAGAAAAATCTGAAATGAAATATTTTCCAAGAATCCGCACGCTTTTTACCTGACTAAATTCATACAATATTGAGAATTACTTTGAACAGAATTAGTAGAATATTTTGTATATGAAACGATGGAAGATTTTCGACGACAATTTGATATTTTCAGAAATATTTTTCTAGTTCTGTTTACCGCCGCCATCTTGTATGCCAAAACTGACAGGCGTTCTTTGGTGATGCCTAACCTTCCTCGGTTGTAAAGTCCCACAGGGATCCCATGAGAAGGGTTATTAAAGTCAGTCACGTAAGTCAATATTATTGTGAAGCTTTGCATATTTGTTTTTATATTTGGTAAATACTGTTTCAACAAGAAACATTTGATGATTAATACCAGACTTTTCAAATTGGTGTTTTCCAATGTGATGTCTGAAAACTTGTCACTGTAGAAATAATATTTATTTG